TAAAAAAAAAAAAAAAAAAAAAGCAAAGTGCACACAACCGTAAGATTTCCAAACCTGAAAAGTAAATTCAAGTCATCTTTTTTTTTCTTTTTCTTTTTTAATCTCCAAACAAGTAGCACGAAAACTTCGTCGAAAAGTTGAAAACGTGTTCCATACACATTGTGAAGTTAAACAAGCACACCCGATGGCTTCAACAGCGGCACAACACCTTCGAGAAATCAATCAATCTACCCATCCCGATCCATCCAGCCGATAGCTTCAACAGCAGCACAACACCTTCAAGAAATCAATCCCATCCCGATCCATCCATCCATCCATCCATCCATCCATCAATCAATCAATCAATCAATCAATCAATCAATTAAAGCCCAATCATTCAATCAAGATTTTTTTATTTTTTTTTTGAAAATTCGTTTTCACCAACAGCACCCTATTTGTTTTTTGAAAATTTCGTTTTCACCAACAACACCACACCCGATGGCTTCAACAGCGACACAACGCCTTCGAGAAATCAATCGATCTACCCATCCCGATCCATCAATCAATCTACCCATCCCGATCCATCAATCAATCAATCTATCAATCTATCAATCTATCAATCTATCAATCAATCAATCTATCTATCAATCAATCAATCAATCAATCAATCAATCAATCAATTAAAGGCCAATCATTCAATCAAGATTTTTTTATTTTTTTTTTGAAAATTCGCTTGCACCAACAGCACCCCAATTTTTTTATTTTTTTTTTCGTTTTCACCAACAACACCCCCCCGGCTGGGGCTGCATACTGGCAGTTTAAAACCTGCTACAGGCCCAGATAGGCCCTTCCTACCCATTAGCACTTCAAATAGCAAAACCAGGCAAATTGGTCATTCCAGCAAGGCTGCATGAAATCCGCTTTTCGCATCATGATTTATCATCTGAAAGGCCGTTTTTTTGACAAAACCAACTAACACAGGATCTTAGTTGGAATATAGTGGTCATAACAGGAGAAAAGAAACAAGAAGAACGTGATGCCCTTGCGTGCAAAGGCCATGGCTTGGAACTAAACATCACAAGCATAAAACTCCTATAGTTGTGCCCACCAGGCTTTGAACTCATGATGTCAATGCCTTCATGTTTGCAGACTCTGTACCGTACAGACAATTGGCAGTTACAGGGGAAAAACTGAAGAAACGCCTTGATTTGCAGTTTTTTTGGGGGGGCAACGGCTCCTGGACGGCTCCTGGGTCACACCTAGCGTTTGGAATGGGCAACTCCAGCAGTCCTCGAAACAGGGCAAATTAAAAAAAAAAGCAACCGCTAAATCTGCATTCCCGCCACTTCAAGAAAACAGTCACAGTTTAAAGTTTAAACCCCCCGCTAAACTTGCACATGCTGAAACTCAAACGATTACATGGGCGCCACTTTGTCTTTTCTTGCCTATTTCAAACTAAAGAGGTGACTCAGGAGCAGTTTCCCCTTCTTTTTTTTTTTTTTGCAGTTTGTGTGGTAAGGAGTTCCGAGGGCGACAAGTCCAATGGAAAAGAAAAAAAAAAGAAAAAAAAAAAGAGTTAAAAGCTTGCAGAAGGTGATGCTACCAAGGAGACTACCTGAGTTCTGCAGATTTACTTCGTGTCATTATGGTGGCACTGGTGTTCCTGAACCAGTTCTGCAAAAGACAAGGCCAGAAACAAAAGACAATTTTTGTGTTTGTTTGTTTTGGCGGAGGGAGGGAGGGGGGAGGGGTGGGGCTCAGGAAGGGGTGGGGCTCAGGAAGAAATATAACAAAACAAGCAAAATGAATCCATCAGAGAAGAATTGGGGCCTTACACAAAGTAATGGGAAAAGTTATATCCCCCGGCAACGAAGCATTTGTATTCATTTCCCCCCAAATGGGGCAAAAAGTGTCAAAGGTCCCAAAATGAATTTTCCTGTCATTTTTGCACCCTGGCTGGGCCGGTAATGCCCGCTGTGCAAAAATGGCTTTACAGGGTGCAAAAACTGATGCCAAAGTCATTTTGGGGCCTGCGGCACTTTTTGCCCCATTTGGGGGGCACATGAATACAAAGGTTTATCGCGGGGGGGGGTCATATCTTTTCCCCAAAGTAATACAAGGTACTCCTGGACTTTTACATTTCACAGTATGAAACACCTTGTCCCACCATGCAACACTCATGGTGCTTTACCCTTCTGTCCAATACTGGGCAGGTAAAGAGGAGCCAAAGGCTCCGAAATTCCAAATCGTTCCTTTTATCCTTGTTGCCATCACGTGGTGAAATCTTGGTGATGGCGTCACCTTCACTACAAATTACGGTTACAAAATATTTTCCTACTGTCCAAAATGAGGACCAGGTACACTGCTATTTGCAAGCACACAAACCAAAATGGTCAGGCAGTGTACCAAGCCGCCAGTGTTTCAAAAAAGCAAAAAAGCTTTAGAGGTCCAAACATAGGCCGCTACCAACACCCAAAATCATAAGGTACTTTGAGATACCCGTACAGCAGATTTCACAGCTCACGGGCGAGCCATTTCCTCTCACCTCAGAAAGAGGTACTTCAAACAAACTGAGATATGGTTATCAGCATCACTAGCACTGCAGGAGGTGTTTTAAAACGAAAAAAAAAAAAAAGAGATATGGCTCATTTCCAATAGCCTCATAGACTCCAAACCACGGCACATCCAACCTCTTTTTTTATTTTTTTTAATTTAAATTTTAAACCAAGGCTCCACCTCCAACCTCAAGAATTGTTTAAAAAAAAAAAAAAAAAACAGCAACGCAGACGACAGCTGTCTGTGAATGACCCAGAAAGAAGAGGTGAGCACATGCAACACGTCGCCAATTAGTAACACTAAAACACACTACAGAGTTCCCTTACACCACCAGTACATGCCAGCCATCGGTCACGGGCCCCTTTCGGAGCCCGCCCGCCGTCAATATATTTTATTGACAGCGCGTGAGCCTCCTAAATTTCAGGAGAGGCTCAATCGGACGCTCAACTTGGCTGGGGCCATGTACTGGTGCTTTAAACCACCATTAACTCCAATTTCTTTTTCATTTGGCTAGCACTGGCAGCCAAAGAGGTGTCCACCAGGCCGACTCTGCCCAAACCCGGAAGAAACCTTTTTTTTTTTTTTTTTTTTTTTTTTGCTTGAGAAATTTGGCTGGGAAAGGTACGTGTGGTTTAATGTTATGGAAAGTAAAATAAAAGAGCATGTTCAGGGAACTTCAGACAGATCACAGACATAAGCAGCATTATCACCGGGTATCAATTTCACAAGTTCACAACCAGCTGGTAAAGTTAAGGGAAAAGTTAGCATTCAGGCTGATTCAGCTATGAATGAAGCCTGGGGCAGCCAGTATACAGCCGTAGTGTTAGCATGCTTGGTTGCGGGCCTCAACCGGTGCTACTGTCTTCACCTGAATAGAGTCCCCGGTCATTATCGCTGTATTTGGTGCAACTTTCAGTCCAGATGCGCCAATAACAACTGGGCGGCTATTGAGCCGAAGACCTAGTATGTCTGTGTTTGTGAGAAAGTCCCAGTGACCGAATAGAAACAACCAGAGGGAAAGAGCAAAAAACTGCTGGCTCCAAAAAAAAAGAACAAAGAGACCGCCTACGGCCGACGCCTACCATAGGCTGTCGGCTCACCTACCAGTCCGGCCAAACCGTAGGCGGACTGGTCGGCAGTCTGTAGAGGGCCATCCACTGTTTGTTTTTCAAATCTGAGTTCAGGGCTGTACTGCGCTTGCCGAGTACAGCCCAAATCCGCTGAGCAACTTTTGGGGATGGGCTGGAGGTACGGGGGGTTATGGGGGAGGCATAGGGGGTTATACGGGGGTTGTAGGGGGTTAAGGGGGGTATGAGGGTGTTAGGGGGTGGTATGGCGGCG